GGTGAATATAAAGTCGATATTAGCTATAACAATGCCAGCTGACTTCTTTTGATTATTTCGGTTAAGCCGGTTCGGTGAGTAAAATTTTGCCCTATTCGTGTGCGCGAAACTCAATTTCACCAGATATAAGATTTTAACAGCCTAAAATCTCTGGTACGATTTTTTTATTTGAAAGAAAAAACGAACATATGGAAACTAATTTATCAGGAAAAAAAGTTGCAATTGTTGTGACGAACGGATTTGAACAGTCAGAATTTGAAGAGCCTTTAAAATCACTAAAAAAGGCAGGTGCAAAGGTGGATATAGTGTCCATAAAAAAAGAAAAAGTAAAGGGATGGAAAGACAAAAACTGGGGCGACGAATTTGAGGTGGATTTGGCCATAGATTCGGCTGACAGTAATAACTATGATGCTCTGGTGTTACCGGGTGGTGTTATGAATCCTGATGCTCTGAGAACAAACGCGGATGTAATTAGTTTTGTTAAGGACTTTTTCGAAGATGAAAAACCTGTGGCAGCAATTTGTCATGGGCCATGGACACTTATAGAAACTGGTTTGCTAAAAGGAAGAAAAATGACTTCTTTCAAATCTATCAGAACAGATTTAATAAATGCCGGTGTAAACTGGGTAGATGAGGAAGTAGTAGTAGATAAGGGTTTAGTTACAAGTCGGGATCCAAAGGACCTTCCGGCATTTTGCGCGAAAATGATTGAGGAAATAGGCGAGGGTGCACATGAGTAGTATGTAAAATAGTTACATACAATTTATTTTAAGACCCTTAGCGAGAGGGTCTTTTTTATTTGGAGAATCGCTTTATTTATAGTTTGCTACCTGCTTTCAAATTGCTATTTTGGCAAAAACAAACCCTATGAAAATTTTTCTGAAAACGGAACGCCTTATTTTAAGAGAACTTGTAGAGGAAGACGAAGCTGGCATGTTTGAGCTGGATTCCGATCCTGAAGTTCATAAATACCTCGGCAATCAACCGCTTCAGAAACCTGAGCACAGCCAGGAAATAATCCG